AAGTGCGGACTCAAGTCACCCTTGTCTTTTCGTAAAAATGATGGCCATAGCTGGGAATGGGTAGAGGGACGGGTAAGGAGACGAAGGGAAGAACCACTGGTGCCTCCCAGTGGCTCCCACTGGTCTCCGAGCCACGCCACAGGTCGAGGAAGGTGATAGTTTCTGTTAGCTATATAAGCAGAATTCGACAACCAGAAATGGTTAAAGAGGCAGATTGGAGAGGGATGCTGAACTCACCCGGATGGAAGGATGGTTTAGAGATGGGCGGGGAGAAGAGTGGTCCAGGAACAACCTGCTCAGTCAATCCTCTGAACTCATAGCAATCAATGCTGGCAGGTGTTTTTCCCGGATACTCTCCCGATTTTCCTCAGGTGTTTTCTGTCTATTTTCTCAATCATTGTACAAGGGACGCTCGGCCCGTTTCCCAGCAGGTGATGCTCCCACCAATAGATGGAGCCTCTCCCCGGGTGCTAGTGGTGTCTGCTTCTACCAGCACCAGAAAAAAAAAAAAAAAAAAAAAAAAAAAAAAGGCAAGCTCCTGAGGGCTGTACCACCCCACACACCGCCAGGAAAAAGGGCATTTCAAGCTCTAAACTACTAGCAGTGTATCTACCTATGTTCTACCAGAAGATTCATGCTCATTTTGCACATTTGGTCAGTAGTGTAGCAAGGCCCTCTATCTCCACAGCTCTCGTGGCAAATGTAAGTATGTTTTTTCTTCTTTTTTTTCCGGAAAGTCGGTACGTTTTTTATTTTTCTTTTCTTTTCTTAGTAAGCCCTGCCAACCAGGCAGGGCAGTCTGCTAGATTTGGTTACTTGGTCGTGGTAAACAGCAGAATGCTTCTACACTGTATTTCTGGGAAGATGCAGCAGAAAGAGAAGAAAAACAAAAGCAGAAACCACCCAGACCCAAATCGCCCGCCCAGATCCATATAGCCCGCCCCCAGTTTGCAACGGGAAAAAAGTCTATCCCTCAAAAGGGAAACAATGGAAGGCGCCCTATACTAAATTGCAACAACCTTGACAAGGTAACCTGCCCTACAACCCGTCTTAGGGACGACGGCGACTGGACCCTATTTTCTGCTGTTGGAGACCCCAAACGAGCCCGTCCTAGCAAAGCTGTACTGCACGACCTTACCGAAAATAGAAAGAACATGAAACGACGAAAATGGAAATGGAACCCCTGGCTGCGAATGCAAACTGGTTCTACCCGACCCTAAGGCTTCGACTCTGCATACCACAAGTCTTTGAGGGAGATAAGGGCAGGCCATTATTCTGTAGGACTGAGTGTGGGCCCCCACTGCAGTGCCGATTGAAAAGACTTTTGGCCACAAAAAGAGGGCAAGTCATTTTGGAAAGTAGGAAAGACCTTTTTCCGGGACCCATCGCAGAGGACCAAATGCGCTTGGAAAACCCTTCGGAAATCAGTTGAGCCAATCATTGCCTGTTTTTTTTTTTTTTTTTTTTTTTTTTTTTTAAATAAAGGGTGACGGCCTTGAGATATCATCAAGATATCATCATTAAGCTGACCGGCCCCAGGTAATTCAGAAATAGTTGGTTTTACAACTTTTTACTCGTCAACTTCCATCATCTGGATTTGAACACGGGTCTGTATTTTCAACAATTCATGGGTGTACCCACTGAGCTAGGCTCTTGGGTATGGTTGCCCATTTTTTTTTTATTTTTTTTTTTTGGCACTCTTCAGCGCTACTGGCTGCTGCCTCCCGTGAGACTTTTCCAGGAACAACATGCCCTCCCCCCTACCCTCTAGAGTCGGGCGAGGAATCCTCCTGTGAGACTTTTCCAGGCCGCGGACTACGTGAAAACACAAAACTACGTTTTCCCAAGCCGCAATCTTTGGTCTGTGGGGTCCTGGAAAAGGGTTTGCGGAAGAAATTTCACTTTTTCCAGGACATTTGCGGCAGGCTGTGGGGTCCTGGAAACAGTTTTTTGATGCAAAGTTTTGCCTTTGGGCGGTCCTGTGGGGTCCAACCCTGAGTGTCATTCTGACTGGCGGACTCTGGGACTCTGGGATCCTACAGACCAGCTACTCATTTCCAGCAATAACTCAGGTTTCAGATGAACACGTTTCTGTGGTGGATTTAAACCCAAGTCTGCTGAGGGGATTGGCTGTCCCTTGTTACAGGTGAAGCCATAACCCAGGCTAATTTAGCTGAGGCCTTTTTTTTTTTTTTTTTTTTTCCCCCTTATTGTAGCTGAGGCCTCAGCAACCGTTTACCAGACCGTATTCGCCAGGTGGGCTTATTTCTTTATTGACTTTTCGGGCTGAGGCCAGCGCCGTAGGTCAGTTGGTAAGGCTCGCAAATGGCATTCAGGACTCAGGAGGTCTTGGGTTCAATCCCCATTGGCCTCATGTACCTTCCTGGGCGAGCTTGGCGCCCGCCACCTAGAGAGACGCCGTGGTCCCCTCCAGTGGCATTGAGCAGAGAATGCTAATGTTCATAGGGGGAGGGGACGGGAGGGGAGGCAGAGTGACTGACCCATAGAAGAAGCTTGGTCCTGATGCTACCGGCTGACCCCTGGGTGGTATAGCCCACCTGCTGTAGCAGGTATCGCACCTGCTGGTGGGTGCAGCTCCCGCATGTTCCCTCGTTGGAGGCTTGAGCACGGATATGGCTGCTACGGGGTTCCCCGTAATACTATAATGACAATAAATACTGACAATAAAAAAGGCCTGAAAGGCCGTCCTGTCCAGATTCGACAGGTAATTGAATTGGTTGGGCTTACAAGAATTAGCCTTTTCTCTTTTTTTTTTTAGCAACCGTCCCCTTATACTGATCAATCCAATCCAATTGATTGGAGCTGAACCCCTCAGGAGCGCATGCCGTAAACAGATGATAGATTCACACAGCTGGTCTTTTTGATTGATTTTGACGGAGAGATCTTGTGCAGTCGACCGGTTCGGGATGAGGTGAGGTGAGATGGCTGTGGGAACGTGTGTAATGGATATGGGCATTTAGGAAAGGAAAAAAAAAAAACGCAACAGAAAGGGGTAATCCGACAATATGAACCTCAGAATTTGTGAAACAAAGCGTGCATGTGTGTGTGTGTGTGTGTCGGTGGATGGAGAGAGAGAGAGAGAGAGAGAGAGAGAGAGAGAGAGAGAGAGAGAGAGAGAGAGAGAGAGAGAGAGAGAGAGAGAGAGAGGTTTGATGAAGTGTGATGGTGAATGCAGCAGGAAAAATGGGGCCATGCAAGAAATGGGAACATATTGTGATTACCCTTTTTGGGTAAAAAAAGAAGAGACTTCCAGGAGTTGCCCTTACGTAGAATGACTGGTGGGAACTTGGAAGGTGAGTTTGTGACCGTGATTGCGCTATTTGGCGCCTACCCGGGTACCCTTATTCGAACTCATCTATCTGTTTTTTTTAATTTTTTATCCATCCTATATCTCTGTACCGCTCAGCTGTTAGGCGGGCGAACTCAGCGATGTATGCCAGTTCCAGTCCTGACGACCGAATCAGATAGATGCAACCATCTCAGGGGGGGCATGCATTAAAGAAACGGACGTACTTCATTAACCAGAACACACACACACACACACACACACACACACACACACACACACACACACACA